CTCTGCAATCTCAAGTGTGGGACAGTATGACAGTTTGAACTGTCAGCCCACTGTGTCTCACACTTCCTAAAACTATTTTCTCTCCTTTTAAGAAAAAACAATTTTTGGAATCACCCTCGTCTTCCTCGTGAAATTCCGGTTCAAACGAGTATATGTGTGATGGGGTTTAGAGCAACAATCCCAACAATACATCTAATTATTAACAAGATGGTTATTTCCAAAAAAGTCCTCATGGTGTCGTTGTTTGCGATCAGAACCCCATCACACATATACTCGTTTGAACCGGAATTTCACGAGGAAGACGAGGGTGATTCCAAAAATTGTTTTTTCTTCAAAGGAGAGAAAATAGTTTTAGGAAGTGTGAGACACAGTGGGCTGACAGTTAAAACTGTCATACTGTCCCACACTTGAGATTGCAGAGTGTGACGTCACATTCTCCCCTTATTAAATCCCTGGTAATGAATTTCGGCCGAATGACGACATTGACATGTTATAGAGACATTAGGGCTGATACAGAGGAACTACAAGTAGTTACGCGGAAGTTCGTTTCCCGTCACTAGATCCGATAATCGCGCGGTTCAGAGCCTTTAGAGCTCACGAAATGGCGCGTACCTTTCGAAAATAGTGATAGTTTTGGCACCGCACGAAGTCAGTCAAAGTATGTGACGTCACAGAGGTATAAACCCCCCCACCCCCATTGTAACAATTAGTCACAAATTCGGCTACCCCTCCCCCCCAAAAAAGTGTGACGTAATTTGTGAACGGCCCCTAATGTCTTGCCTCACTCCGTGCCCACGTTAGGCTTTCCTCCCGTGTGAGTTCGAACAATGTCTCCGCAGAGCGCTGGGTCTCAAACACTTCACGTCGCACTCCGAGCACTCGTACTAGTACTTCCTCTCTACGGCATGGATGTGGAGATGTGAGCGCAACCCTGTACTTGTCTTGAATCCCCTGCGGCACTCGGTGCACTCGAAGGGCTTTTCTCCAGTGTGGGTGCGGAGGTGAACAGCTAGAGCGCCAGTATCCATGAACTTCTTGTCGCACTCGGTGCACTCGTAAGGCCTCTCTCCCGTGTGCGTTCTGTGATGTGAGCCCAAACTACTCTTTTGCGAAAATTTCTTGTTGCAGACGACACACTCGAACGGCTTCTCTCCTGTGTGGGTGCGGATGTGCGAGCTAAGATTAGTACTGGTCTGAAATTTCTTGTTGCATACAGAGCATTCGTGTTGCTGTTTCCCCGTATGAACGCGAAGGTGAGCACGCAGACTGCTAGGGCGCGCAAACTTCTTGTCACCCAACGCGCACTCGTAAGGCTTCTCACCCGTGTGGATGGAGGTGCGCTCGCAGACCGCCGGTCGACACATATTTCTTGTCGCAGAGCCTACACGCAAAGGGGGTTTCTCCTGTGTGGGTAAAGCGGTGTGTACGCAAATGACTGCCCTGTGAAAATTTCTTGTTACACAAGTCACACTCGAAGGGTCTCTGCCCTGTGTGGATACGATTGTGAGTTTTCAGATTGCTAGGTACCGTGAATTTCATTTCGCACACCGTACACGCATACGGCTTCTCTCCTGTGTGGGTACGCCCGTGGTTTCGGAGATGTGCTCCAGTGGAAAAACCCTTGCTGCAGACATCACATTGAAACGGCTTTTCTCCTGTGTGGGTTCTGAGATGTTTGCGCAGCTACTGAATTTCTTGTCGCACACCGTGCACCCGAAGAGCTTCTCCCCGGTGTGGATGCGGAGGTGTTTCTCGAGACCTCCACTCGAGGCGCACCTGTAGTCGCACACGTTGCACCCGTAAGGCTTCTCTCCGGTGTGGGTCCGGCTGTGGGCGATCAGATGACCACTTTGCGAAAATTTCTTATCACACAAAGTGCAGGCAAAAGGCTTCTCCTCTGTGTGGATTCTGTGATGCACTTCCCGTTTGCTATTCGTTGCAAATTTCTTGTTGCACACATTGCACTCGAAAGGTTTGTCTTCCGTGTGGGTTCTCATGTGGATGGCGATATTCGCAGCTTTCTTGCCGAAAACATCACGTTGAGTCAGCATGGCGATAGTATCCGTCAGAAATACCTGTAGAGGAAAATAGAGGAATTTAGATTTTATGTTTACTATGTCGACATTTCTTAGCTCAGCGTGCAGGAATGAAGGAGAGAAATCTGAAACGACCACACATGCACTGTGTGAACCTACGAGTAACCCCAGTTTCAATGTTACACTAAGCTGATTCAGTCTACCAGGTGGTTGATTCACGCCGCACACTTTTCTAGTTA